CCAGTGCTGCTGTATTTGAATATTGTTCAATGCACAAATGACAAGGAACAGCTTGCCTTCTTTTCTAGGCATGAGTTTTTCCATGACAAAAGACTATATTATATTCATAGCCTACAGTGAAAGTATGCTACAATAAACTGTCTTATAGAACAACTAAAGAGTGTGAATTCCTAATGTTTTAAAAGTCTACAGCAGCTACTGCTCTTGACAAATGAACAGAAGGCAGATACAGTTATTCTCAGTAGAAAGGAAAAAGAATACTGAAAAATGATAGAGTAGTTTTCACAGCATGATTTGTAGATGATTACATCTGGTAATCTGGTGGTATGTCCAAGATGTGCATTACTCCAGATGCATGCAGCAAGGAATTGACAAATAATGGTAAAATTTTTAATAGTGCTGTAGTCTGAGTCATTAATGTCTACAGTCATGAAGTAGTAGACTGCATTTGAATGGAGAATGACATTTACAGCCACTGCTGGAATTAAGAAGCCATTTTCAGCAAGCTTTCAATGAATTCTTTGCTATATAAACTATAAAAGTATAAATTCACAATTTACTCCTACGAGAAGGATAAACTAATAAGTGTTATTACAATTTGCACTGATTTCATGCATTTTCAAACAAGTACTTTTAATGCCCCTGATGATGGAAGAAACACACATTCTACACTCATAACCATCATTGACAGAGAAGCTTAAAAAGGATAAATCTAGGTAGCAACAGAATAAAAGCACTTACAAAAATTATTACAGCATATCCTAAGAATTTGCTGCCACAAAGAGTTACAAAAAGAATGGATATATTAAAAGATACTTTCTGCAGAAGAATTCTTAAGGAAAGCAGACAATACTGGAATTAGTTCCCTTCTTACATTTTCGTGATGGTTGAAATTACTAATAATCATTAAAAAAAAGTGTAAAAGTGTAGACGGTAATTGTCTAAACAAAATTCTGAAAGACTTGGGCTGCACTGTATTACTTATTTGATGTTTTTATTTGATGTCTTATATTTCAGACAAAAACTCTTCATAGGAACAAGCTAACTCATTGGTGAAATATGGTTGAAGTCTATTGGTCCATAGCAGATTTAGAACAGCTGCTTTATGAAATCTTATATATGAAACTCACATAATGAGGAACAGTCTAAAAGAGCAGTTTAACTTCTGCACAGAAAGCCATAATCTCAAAACAGATTTTACAATAAAATTTCAAACACACCAGTAAATTTAAACCATAAAGTATAACATACAATTTTTCAGTAAATTATTTCACGTTGAACTAATGCTTGAATTACTAACATGTGTATCCTTCTTATGATCTTTATTTTAAAATTAGAGAAGATTACACAATCATAAGGACAGTTGGCAGCAGAACCGAAAGCATTACAGCTTTCTGACTGACAATCTTAATAACTGAAATAGGGACCTTTGGATTTAACTTTCTGTCACCAGATGACTACAGATCAGGAAAGGGAGCTTTCTATTTGCTATTCAGTTAGATTCTAAGAATTTTTTATTCTCAAGTGTCACAGTCCTAATTGTCACAAGCAAAAAAGTAGTTTAGAATATTGGTCAATTTAGAACAGATCAAAAAACAGGCTTTTCTTAAAACAGGAAGACTGAAAACTGAACAGTAGTTGGAGACTATGAAATGCAAAAACCAATAGCTTTTTGAATTTTGGATCATCACATGCATCAACTGTCAATAAATTGCCTGCCTTATGGATTGAGTAGAAAAGAAGAATGGATCCAGATAGTAACAGTCAAAAACAATTGAATGCTAAGAAAAAAGGATTAAATAAAGACAAAAATTGTGACACAGATTTTCTGTAAGATGCCTTTACCCAGTTTAATATTTTTTTCTTCAATATCACTCCTTTTGCATCCTGCTCATATAAACTCCTTCTGACACACTAGCACACGTTTGAAGGCCAAAGTTGCTTATCACTCTCCTGTTAATTCTTTGACAACTTGCACACAGACCAGCTCAGAAGTTTTAAGTGAAATACAAACACCTGCGTTTAAGCAAAATGCATTCACCTGCATTGAATTTAACACTGTCATCTTGAGTCAAGCCTTTCTTGCCAAGGGTGTCATCTAGAAAATGGAATAAAGCAATCTGTGGAGTTTCAGAAAAGGAGCTGAGATCTGGTTAACTCCCTCATGCAGGCTCATGGCTAACACAAACCAACAAACAAACAAAAGCACACACCTGGGCAGTCCTAGGCCCTTACATACAGTCTGTCTATTCATTCTTGCATTCTGGGTAATAAATACAACAAAACAAAACAAAAAGACATTCCATAAAAGGAACCACCCATCGAATTCGTGCAAGCTGTTTTACAGAAGACTAATAATTGCATAAAATAATCCAAGGAAATAAATACAACAAAATAAACAGACCTGTCTGTAAGCTCATATCCTTTAAAGCCTGCACTAAAGGATATTTCATACCGCGAAAAATACGAGCAAAACAGATTAAAAATCTTAACTTGTCTATTTACAGAACTATGATCATTTTAGAACAAGAGCTTGATTAAACAAGCAAAGGAAAAATTCTTATGGTGCTTGTGGTAAGTATCTTACGATGTGACATGATACTACAAGCATCATTTCCAAGATCTACATTTCCTTATCTTCAATGTAGCTAATATGAGGAATAAAAGTTTAAAAAATAGTGATGTGAAAGGCAGAAATTAAACAAAATTAAGTAAACACCTGAAGGGGATACCTGACCTACACAGTCCACTACATTCATTTTTAATTTGTTTCCCCATGTTTTTTAACAAAAATTGTTTTGACTTGTCCCCCAGTGCATTATAGATGGTTTATCTGTTAAAATGAACAGAAAAATGTTTAAGTGTGTTAAGTGTGTTAAATATAAATAAGATAAACTTCATATGTTAACCAAAGTTTTTTGAAGGTTTGTGCTGCAATGTGTTTAACAGGATCTTTTACTGATTTTCCCAGCACATCTGGTGAGCTAATATATTCCAAAATATATATATTCCAAAAATAAATGGAATGATTTCAGTACTTCAAGTTATTAAATAAGCTGTTTTCTACAGTGTTACCAATCTAAAAAGGACCAATTACAACAAGGTCAGAAAATGAAAATGTTTGGTTTTAAGTATAACTTCTTGGATTGTTCAAGACTAACATATAAAGGAAAGATTAATGTGCAGAAAAAATTTTCTTTTCAGAACAAATAATTCCCCAATATAAGGGGAGTGGTCAATCAGAAAATATGTCATTTTTAAGCAGAAAAAGATATAACAGAAACAAGGTTGGTGTAGTAAATCTACAAAGAGTAAGAGTTTGCTCTAAGCATATGCAAACTGTAAATATGAGCTTTTTGATTACTAAGTTATATGATGTTAACCTGTCGGCTATATCTATCTATCTATATGTACACATACACACATATGAACAGTTGCATTATTTTCAAATCATTCTATATAAAATATATTTTTATTCTAAAGATATTACAAGTATTGTCATAGTTGAACACAGATTGCCAAATATTCTTAACTTCCAGGGGCAGGATGAATCCCATTTAAACCTTTCTATTAAGTTCTGATCGAGTTTCCTCTAAACCTTGTAAGCGAGGTGCCTAATTCATTGTGTCCGCAGTCCACAAGATAGCTATATCCCTCCCCGAAGAAAAAATATTTTTGAGATGTCTACCATGCCTTAACGAACAATATCTCTTATAAGAAAATGCGATACAAAGAGCAGATAAAGAGCTACACTTTTTTTTTTCCCCAGAAATGTAATTCTCTTATATTTGAGATCTTCTTTTTGCATATGTCCCACTCATCAGCAAGACTGTAGGCACGGGCAAAAGGAAAAAGCCACTTTTCCTTTGCAATCCTAAACAAAGTCCCTCTCACAAACTTACTAGTAAGAACACTTTTCCTTCCAAGAGTATGGAAAAATTAGTTAAGACAAGTAATCAACTCTTTTTTAGTGTTTCAGTATCAAAACATGGAGTTTTGATACCTAATCTAGGAAAACAGTCATTCGGGAATATTCTCTGAGGCAACTGAATATTGTCTCTTTTACATACTTTGGTTATCACTAAACACCTGGCATTACATTCACTCATGTTGGAGCTCTGCTTGAGATGGCACCAAATAATGACAACTGTGTCATATCAGAGGGATTTCATTATTGCAATAGAACCTAATTTGGGCCATGAGTACGCATTTGATTGGAATAATCTGTATTGCTTTACTAAAACTCAAGAAACACAAAGAGGTCTGTACACACTGTAAGATACCTTTTAAACGATACCTTTTAAACGATTAAACGATTCAGTAGACTTGTTCAGGTGATCAACAATACAGGTGCTGTAGAGACTAATTAGTTAATACTTATAAATCTACTGAAAAATTTAAATCTACTGAAAATGAAAATCACTTCCCGATATAAAATATGAGTGTTATTGTAACACAGTCTTTAACCCTGAAAATGTCATATATCAAGACAATATTATCTGTGCCTAAGCGTAAGTGTAATAAGTTTATGTTTCACCAAAATGGCTAACGACATTTTCCTTCTTTCTTAAATTGCACAAATCCTATACAAATGCTTTAATCCTGAGTTATCTGGCTGCTAATGTAACAGTGGTCAGGTCTGCTGCATGTAACAAAATAAATTCAGACAGGAGTACAAAAAATGTAGACTATTGTTTTCATTAAAAAAGGCACATGATTTGTCTACTTGCAAAAGAAAAGTTAATTCTTAACCTATATTCTATATTGAAATAGTAACCATGAATTAGCCAGAGTAACCATTTTAAAGAGAACCCATCTAATTCGTTTCCCTCAAAAAAGTATAAACTGAGGTAATATGTCATGTAAAATATCAGGCCAGTCTATATTAGAAGCAAGTGAAAAGAAAGTCTTATAATGAGAAGAGACTGACCAAGGACAGGCACTAAAGATTACCTGAATGTATACTCACATACTACTACACTAAGCTCGTTTGGATTTACCTTGAATTCTTCAACAATAATGCTCAAGGCTTCATGTCCAGCTTTTCTCATGTCTTCTAACTCCAGTTTATGTTTTTCCTGCACATAAATAAGGAAATATTACATAACACACAGGCACCACGCATACCACGTTACTTAAACTAAGACCTTTTTTTTTTTTTTTTTTTTTTTTGCATATTATATGTATGCTCAAATCAAGTTATTCCTAAGCTTATCTATCTTTTAAGTACAGATAGCAGCCTTCCAATTCTTGCCTTTCCTTGCCTGTTTTGTGATCAGAATTAGCAACTTGAATATCTCCTTGGACTGACATCAGTATTTCACAAGGAGTAGCACTGCTTTTTTTTCAAACTATCATGAATAAGAGGCTGAAAAAGAGGCTCTTCCCTCATTCTCTTTATCCATGATCTCTTCTTAAATCAGCTGGTTGTACGTTTTACACACACTGGGAAAATTGGTGCAGAACTGCAGAAAGGTATTCATCATGAACCTCATCTTGCAGCAATTACAGGATATCTCTATATGCAAACTACACGGCATATCTTTGGCTTTCTGGATGGAATTTAATTTGGAATATATTAAGTTTTCTAAGTTCTATACAGTTGAAAAAAAAAGCAAAATCTAATATATAAGCATGTTCATTTACATTATGAATGGCTATACAGCATTATTAAAAACAAATTCAGCTGCCTAACTATTATATCAGAAGAGAGATTTCTGCACTGCCATTCAGTTCTTTTCTACCAAAAAGAGCATTTCAGCAAAACATTTCAAATTATAGTTATTCATCCTGTATATCTTTGGGTTGGACAGAGGGAGATACTGAGATTTGAATATAACTGGTTTTCAGGAAAGTGTGGAGCTCCACAAAAACAGCTGATACAAAGCTGAACTGAACATGGAAATATTTGTAAATGTAAGCAAACTACTATTTCAGGTAACATGCCATCTGGATACATCAGTCAAGTTACATTGGTGAAGGGCAGATATCCCTGACAAACTAGCTAAATTAAAATGTTTTGTATAAAAACATGCTTTGAAATAGGCAGGCTTTTGCAGGTAAAGAACTACAGAAGAGTAGATAGGAGAAAAATATGATCTGGTGCTTAACTTAAAAAGTTCACAAAAGTTAATAAATTAAGTTACCTGTGAAAATTAAACATTGAAAAAAATAAGAAATCAGTCATTTTAAAGCATTCCAGATTAACGGGGCAGGGCGGGGGGGGGGGACTTTAAATCAGAGGGTTGAAAAAATAAGGTGCCAGAGATCTTTTGGATCTATTAGTGAGAAACAATGCATCAATTATGTTGAAGGAGGAAATAACATACTTCAACCCAATAAAAAAGTGGGACACCCCTTGCTAGCATTACCTGGCAAATCAGGATGTAAAAGGAAAAAGCACAGATTTTCTTCTGAGATTAAATTTCGAGTTTTACAGAATTAGCAACTTACACACAGTCACATACCAAATGTGAACTGGAAACATAAGATGAAGCCTTACCTGAAGATAAATACCAACACCAAAGTATAATTACTAACATGGAAATTCTGTTTGTCAAAGAAATGGATTGCTAAACCTAATCAATTTGGGAATAATAATAACAAAAAAGAGTATTTACTTTAAGCATTCCCTTAAGAAGAAAAAATAATCTTATTTGTGAGAAATCACTGGTAAGGCATAAGCCGTTTAGGATTGATCAGGCCTAGCAATCTGTTTCTATGACACAGTTGACAGAAAGGAAGAAAAGGCATTATTACAAGTACAGAGAAGATAAGTTTTAATGTCACACCATGATACACCATGCAAGGAAAGACTTTTTAAATATTCCAAAATTCCAAAGACTGGATGAACTGCATTACATTGCTTGTAGCATATGTCTATTTTCAAGATATTTCAGCTAATACAGTAGACCTGTAAGTTTACTTCTTTTAACTTGTAAAAGTGTACAATCAGACCTCCCACAAATTGGCTAGTTCAGATGTGAAAAATCATAATTAAAACATGTTCTTCTCCTTCAGAGCGGCTTCTCTCTTCAGACTGGCATAAAAATTGCTTACAGGAAGGTTCTGGACTAAAAGCTTTTTCAAAAAGAGGAGGCAAACCCTTCTGAAGTGCAGCCTTCCTGAATAGGACGCATCCAGATTTATTAAGCAGATGTGAAGACATTTAGAAGATTAGAAGCCCCATTAAAAAACTGAAAAAGTGCAACAGATTAAAAATACATGATTATTTTAACCATTAATCAGGCTCAGATTTGCAGATTTATAAGTAAAACTTCATTATAATATTTACTTCTGGCAATAAACATTTACCAACCTATGCTAACCATTCTAAATAAACACTTGTTTGAGGTAAGGTGAATTTGTGACTTAATTCCAAAATCAAAATACTGCTTGTCTAGCAATAAGTTTAAATCATATGCTTGTAGGAAATTGCACAGGACAACAAAAACATCAGTTATTTTATACCAGTACCGCTCAGGTTTAGGATTATATATATTATTAATAGTATGTTATAACGAATATATAATGTGCTGTTCATAATATGCAATATGTAACATAATAATGCAATGTATTCTGTTAATATTATATACATTAAGATATTATCATTAATATATAATATTATTAATACTATTATATACAGTATATATAATTATGTGTTATATACATCAATATATTAATGCATTATATTATATATAAATGATAATTTAATAACAAACTAAAACTGGAACTGTTTTCCAATATCAGGAGCTTCACAGAAATGATTCATTATCCCTTGGCAGTATGTGGCTACATAACCGGTTTTTTGAAAATAAGATGCCACTCATTTTACCTGTGTGTAAAAGGTTTCAGCAACTGCACTACTCGAGTAAAAATAAACAAAATTTTAGAGATTATTAGGATTTTTCATGTTTGATACAGAATGTATAAATCATTTTCCACATGCGATTCACCCCAGATCTTCTTAATTAAGCATGTTACAGTGTATGAATTTGTTAGATTGGAATTCATTTACACCATTTAGCACTCACAAATGATATTTATATATGATATATACATATTTCAATTGATCAATCTGTTACAACACAAATATTGTACTAAATATAGAAATAAAATGAAATACAATAAAATGAAATAACGTTTAACCAATACTCTAACGGGACAATAAAATATCATCCAATGGAGCATGGCATTCACCCAAGTATGTAATGACCAGAACTTATGCATGGACTATTATCAAAATAAGATGATTTAGCAATTAAGGGGAGATTGACAAAACATCACCCTAATATTTGCTATTCATCTCGTTTCACCCAAATGCATAATCATGAAAAAAAACAGAGATACTGACTAATCTTGATTACTGCTGACAAAGATCTAATATTTCAATAGTCAGCAATGATTAACTATAACCACATTAGCTGTGTCAGATACTTGAGAATGAATACAGATAGGAAATCAGTGGATCTAGCAATACAGAGCTCCTTTCCACTAGTGCTGTTTCTCACATTTTTGAGAAACTGCATGCCAAATAACTGCTAACAATCTTACAAGAATTCTTACAATTGTTCAATCATGCAAGGTCTACTCTATGTGAGTCTTATTATTTTGAGTATCCTTTTTTTCCTACAAAAGCTATGTTCAATGAAAAAAATGATAAAATAATCTCAATGGGACACAGCTTCAACTTGTCAGTTCTGCACATTTTAAAAGGGTCTTAAGTAAGATTTTCCCTATGAAAAACAAACAAACAAAAAAGCATCACTGAATACACTTACTATGAATACACAAATAAAAATGTGTGGTTGCTGTAGTTTACTTGTGGCAACCCAAACTTAAGCTAGCCAATTCAGTTCAAACAGATCTTGGAGGCAGGCATAAAACAGGTAAGAACAGTTAGAAATTGGTCAGACTGGAATGATTTTTGCACTTATATGCTTAAAAAAAGAAAAGTTGTCTAAGTACAATTTCTTTTCTAAATTCATACAATCAATGGAGGTAAATAATTAAAAAAATTCTTCATAAAGAAAATTAGCATCTTAGGTCTAATACCACTTTTCCAAATTAACCATTTTGAAATAAGGATATAAAATAACTCATAAAATGTCATTTTAATGGAAATTTTAAAGGAATAAAGAAGAAAACAAAAGGCATTTTTTTTTAAAGAGAAATATGTTTTTTTCCATACTGTGTATAAATAATTTAGAGGAAATAGGCATCAAAATTGGAAAAAAAAATATACAGGCCAAAAGATAAACAACTCCGAAATGATTCATTAAAAAAGAGACTTTAAGGGAAAATAAGTGTCAGAAGGAAGAGTATAAGAGTACATAAAAAAAAAACTTTTTTAAAAGGTGAAGAAATAAACGTGAGGTCTCTGGCACACACTTGAAACAGGTGGGTAAAGGATATTACCACATCCATAAATACCTTTAACTGTTCAGCAAAAAGATACATTGCTGTCTATGAAAGTGCCTTTTCTGAATTCTCCAATTTTCACAGTGTTTGTAATTTTAAACTCAGCTATGCCCTGTGAAATTTCCTGGAATCTCATCTATAAATTTAGTTGCAGGTACAGTAGATAACTTTTTTTTTAACACCTATTTTTCATTATTAGTATTCTGTCTCCTGCATGTCTGCACCTAAAACCAACCTAAATATTTTCTTAGAAGATGGTATTTAACAGGATGTAAGTCATATATTAGTTTTGTAAGAAAACATACATTTTTTAGTACTCTAGCCACAGAAAGCACCAACCTCCAAAACCTGCTTCCAGTCTCTTGCAAAACACCTTCGGAGTCATAAATGCATAGAATGAAATATATACCTTTAGATGGAATATTTCTTTTTGAACACAATTATTCTGAGAAAAGTAGTTTTCAAACTAAGAACTTATACATAAAGAAATAAAGAGCTTACTACAAAGCACTATAGCAAAAATATAACACTGACTTATCTAGCAAATGCCATCAACATGTTTTCTTTGAGTTACTCCAACGTTTTCATTGGTGTTCACTAATTACAAAACCACGATTTTCATTCAGGAGTTCTTTTTTGCTGATATTGTAGTCCTAAG